TACTACTGAGTAGCTTCCAGGATGTCCACAGAGAGGTAAACACACATACTCCCTTCCTTGCAGTGAAAAATGTTGTCTTGTAATTCAGAGAAAACTAGAGCCATTAGGCAAAAACTCCCTCAGCTTTCTGCTTTCACACCTACAAACTGATACCAACAGCCTTTTTTTTTAATAAGTAGAATAGAGGGTCAAGTTGGATGGCTGAAGATGTCTGTGAGGATAAAATCATTAAATATTTTCAGGCTTTGCAAAGGTAAAACAACTTGCATATATCAGAACCTGGGGAAAAATAGGCTTACATAAAGAAAAATGCTGTCTTCTTCTGGAGCCCAGATTAGCACTGAGCTTATGTGTGACATCCAACATAAGCAGGCCACGCTGCTGCTGATAATGTCTGAATTTATCTTGGACTCTGAGAGAGTCCTATAAGGAAAACAAATGTAAAAACTATCATACAATACACTCTCTTAAGAAAAAAAAAATGGTTTGAGCAGAGGCTATCTCAAAACTAATGATACAGGAATGAGAAGTTTTATTGTGATAAAAGTAATAAAAGTCATTACAATAACAAAAATAGGATGACTTGGTGACATTGATGGCAGCAACAGCAGTTATGGATTGTCCTTAGAGCTTGAAGTTCAATATCTAATTCAATATCTCAAAAGTCCTGTAAAGTAAGTAGTACAAATTGCATTTGATGAATGAGGAAAACAATTCAGAGAGAAAGCCATAAAGCCAAAGTCCCATAGCTATTCAGTGACAGAGCCAGGATTTGAATCCATGTTAGCCTGACCCCTGCTTCTGTCTGTGTGTGCTCTTACCCTATAGAACATAAATAATGTAGACACAGTCCAGCATCCATCTACATTAGAAAGGTGCATAGCACATATTGGGCTCTTAACTTATTTTTGCACTATCAAAAATCTTATGCTCTTCTTTTGGAATATTATGCTTTAGGAAATAAATTTTGCATGTGGATTTTTTTTCTTAATAGAAAAGCTCAACAGTATGTGTCTCTATGCCTTGAAACTGTTAGGCAGGTCTGTGGCAGTTACATCAGAGAAAGAGCTACATAACTCTGTCAAAGGTAGGGTAGCCTGGACCACAATACCCAGACAAGTCACCTGTCCTAGCCAAGCAAGAGACAGCATGAACTTCAGACTGACCTGGGACACTCAACCTTAATTGCCAAAAAGTGTTTTGTTACTGTTCACAGTATGTCCAGTATTAACCTTGGAAGATAGATATCCATATGGAACATAACCACAAAAGTAAAATAGACAGATACAGAGAAAAAGAGACAGGGAGGGAGGGAGGGAGGGGGGGAGGGAGGGAGGCTGTTTGAGAAACCGGCCCGGCCTGTCTGGGTGGAAAAGAGTGCCCTCTACCTGCCAACCCAGGAACCAGCCCTCACCCGTTTGGGAATCCCGCCAGGGAATGGGGAGCGGGAGGGCGGGGTTTGAGGGGGCGTGAGTCCAGGGTCCAAGGCGGAGATCAACAGTAGATCTCGGCGTCTTAGATCCCCTGGGAAGAGAGGCATAGGTAGGGGTGGAGTGATGAGGACCCCCGGGGAGGCCTGGTGAAGGATGATTTGACTCAATAACCCTAGGTCACCGGACCAGCCAGCACACTCTGCTCCAGTTGCCGGATTTTATCATCCATCCCTCCACCCCCGCGCCCCCCAGGTTCGATTCAGGCCAGGGACAGCGGGCTGGATCCCCAACGTGTCACCCCCCGCCCCCCCCGGCGCC